CGTTTCCTGTTTTCTGTGTTGTCTTACTTTCTCTACAAAATGTAGAAAGTTGATGTGGGATGGAGTTTCAGGGGAGACATTTGCCTCCACAACTTCGATTAAATGAATGCGATTCGGTGAGATTGTCTGCCATTAAATGAAGTAAATATGTCCCTATCCTGCCACAAATACCCAGCAATATTTAAGCAAAATGTGGATATTTTGCCTGAAGTAAAGGCTGTGCGGTTTTTGATGGAGATCTGCTGAAGGGAAGGTTTTACTTTGAATCTGAAAAGAGTCACTGGACTCGCAACACTCTGCGCTCCCTGCACAGATGCTGCCAGATCTGCTAAGTTTTTCCAGCAATTTCTTTTTTGGTTTTTTACTTTCAATCTGTTTCTTTTAAATCATTATTTTCAGATGTTCTTCATTCAAAATTAACTTGTAAAATGTTGTAGATCTGCTTCTCAAATCAAAAATTGTTTGCATTTTTAAAATGACAAAACTGCCTTCATACGTCCTTGCCTCATCTGCCATTAGGAGTAGCTGTGGGTTGGGGATGAATGGGGTTAATTTTGGTTCTTGGGATTTTTGATTGAGTGTCTCCCTGAATTGGCATGGTGACAGGTTCCCTGTCCTATTAGGAGCAGTGGGCAGGCTACAAAGCTGAAAGCCTAACCACAAGATTTTCAGCTTGAGAGGAGCACAGTTCCAGTAACTGAGAGGGCAAATCAGCATTGCAGTGGACGGTCAATAGAGTCTTAAATAGAAATGAAAAGTACAGAAATCAATCGGATTCTTCTATGAGGATGTTCGTGAGTGCAGGGCAGAGGTTGGTCATTGGGTTTTTTTTTGCTCCTTGGCTGCAGTCATGCACGGAGACATAGAGAGGACACAGTTCTGCGCTGTGTAGTGTCCTCTGACAGTTGTTGGGTTCCCACTTCCGGTGTTTGCAGCTGGTTCATATGGAGCTGTGATTACATCACTTTGTATGAAAGCTGAAAGGATGGATTTATACAGAACTAAACCGAGGAGGCTGGATGACTTCATGAAACAAAATCTGGAGCTGAGTGAATTTAACTTAGAACTAAGAAATACAGTACATACAATCTGAATTTTCAAGGAAACGATGTTTCATCAAACAACCTGGGATCAAAATTATCAGAGCTGTTAAAGTAAGCTATTTTGTTTTTAACACAGCATGCAGAATAAATAGTGTTTACAATGATGACTATTTACAGTACTCTGAAATTTATACATGTTTCAGAATGAAGCTTTTTTTGATGTGGTTGTGAGTTTTTCAGTATAACTTTCCAGTTTTCTGTGTCGTCCTACCTTCTGTCCAAATGGCCAGAACTTGATGTGTGAGAAAGTTCCAAAGGAAATTGTGGGGTCTCTATGACTTCAATTTAAATGAATGGAATAGATGACATTGTCAATATTTCTTGGGGATTTTCTGCATTTAAGTGAAGTAGATGTGTCCTTGCATAGTTGTGAATTGTTGGGAAAGTCAGACTGAAAAGCCTACTTGTTTTAAGTCTGTGCAGCTTTCAATGTATATCTGCTGAAGGGAAGATTTACTTCAAATCAGTTTCTCTTAAATCACTATTTTCAGCTGATCTTTCAGGAATGGGTAAATAACTGAGACCAAATCAGCATGGTGGTGGCCTCTCAACAAAGTCTTAACAAACTGATTTATAAACTTTTAAATTGAATCTGGTTTCCACGATAAGGATATTAATGCGGTGGGTGGGAGATGTTGGTTCAAAGAATCCCTACGGTGTGGAAACAGGCCATTTGGCCCAACAACTCCACACCGCACTTCTGAAGAGCAGCCCACCCAGACCCATTCTCCACCCCTGCATTTCCCTTGTCTAACCTACCTGACCTAAACATCTCTGGGCACAATGGGCAATTTAGCATAGCCAGTCCACCTACCCTGCCCATCTTTGGACTGTGGGAGGAAACCAGAGCACCCGAAAGAAACCCACGCAGACACGGGGAGAATGTGCAAACTCCACACAGCCAGTCACCCAAGTCTGGAATTGAACCCGGATCCCTGGGGCTGTGAGGCAGCAGTGCTAACCACTGAGCCACCGTGCCACCTTATTTGTTGGGTGGTGTTGGCAGGGAAGTGGGGGGTAGATTGTGAGGGGAGATTGGAAATAGGTTTCTCTCCTTGGCTGCATTCATGCACAGGATGTAGAGAGGGCTCTTAGCCCTGCACAGAGCACTGGGCTCCCACCTCCAAGAAATTGAACTTTCCACAGTCACCTCAGGAAATTGAAAACTGCCAGGCAAGTCATAAGAACATAAGAACTAGGAGCAGGAGTAGGCCATCTGGCCCTTCGAGCCTGCTCCGCCATTCAATAAGATCATGGCTGATCTTTTCGTGGACTCAGATCCATTTACCCGCGTTCTCACCGTATCCCTTAATTCCTTTATTGTTCAAAAAAAATCTACTTTTTTTTAAAAACGTTTATTGAAGTAGTGTCAACTACTTCACTGGGCAAGGAATTCCATAGATTAACAACCGTCTGGGTGAAGAAGTTCCTTCTCAATTCAGTCCTAAATCTGCTCCCTCTAATCTTGAGGCTATGCCCTCTTGTCCTAGCTTCACCTGCCAGTGGAAACATCCTCTCTAATTCTATCTTATCTATTCCGTTCATAATTTTATATGTTTCTATAAGATCCCCCCTCAATCTTCTGAATTCCAATGAATATAATCCCAATCTACTCAGTCTCTCCTCATAAGCTAACCCCTCAACTCCGGAATCAACCTAGTGAGCCTCCTTTGCACCCCCTCCAGTGCCATTACATCCTTTCTCAAGTAAGGAGACCAAAACTGCGCACAGTACTCCAGGTGTGGCCTCACCAGCACCTTGTACAGCTGCAACATAACCTCTCTGCTTTTAATTTCAATCCCTTTAGCAATGAAGGACAAAATTCCATTTGCCTTCCTAATTACTTGTTGTACCTGCAGACCTACCTTCTGTGATTCATGCACAAGGACACCCAGTCCCTCTGCATAGCAGCATGCTGCAACTTTTTACCATTACTCCTACCGAAATGTATGACTTCACATTTATTTACATTGTATTCCATCTGCCAGACCTTTGCCCACTCACTCAATGTATCTATGTTCCTCTGCAAAGTTTCACGGTCCTCTGCACACTTTGCTCTGCCACTCATCTTAGTGTCATCTGCAAACTTTGACACCCTACGCGTGGTCCCCAACTCCAACTCCAACTCATCTATATAAATTGTAAATAATTGCGGTCCCAACACCGATCCCTGAGGCACACCACTAGTCACTGACTGCCAGCTAGAATAGCACTCATTTATCCCCACTCTTTGCTTCCTGTTAGTCAACCAATCCTCTATCCATGCTAATACTTTACCCTTAATGCCATGCATCCTTATCTTATGTAGTAGCCTCTTGTGCGGCACCTTGTCGAAGGCCTTTTGGAAATCTAGGTACACCACATCCACTGGGTCCCCATTGTCCACCTCGCTCGTAATGTCTTCATAGAATTAAGTCCCAGCCATAATACACTTGTTAACAAGGCCCTCACTGTGCCTAACTGACTGACTGCCTCGTGGTAATGTTGCTTGGAAGCTGGCTGCTGGCCACTGGCCATTTTGAAACTGCCTCTGACCCTGATGTTTGGATGGAGGCCAAAGTTTCAACCAAGCGAGGATGTTATCTTAACTCGGGTTCAACAGAAGGAGGAGAAAAACAAATTACAGCAAAATGGTACTAAATGACTTAAAATTATTCAAACCTGCTCACATTGGAAAACGTCGCCATGACAGGTATCGAGAGATCACGTTTCAAATTAATTTCTGATTTGCCATCCACTTTGCCAAGAATTGCCCAAAATATTGTTCTCTACAACCACCACTCTGTCAATTACAAATCTAGGTGTTAAAATTGCAGAGAGTCCTTGTGGTGCTGTGACTTATCAAGGTGATGGCACCTTCACGAAAAGAGGACAAGAGGAAAATAAATCTCATGGTAATAGCAGCAAAAATTGTGCTAGTGTGAATTCTGTCCCAAGCACAATGGTATAGATAGCCTGCAGTGCCTCGATCGCCCTTGAAGACTGATCTTTACAACATTAATGAATGGCTCAATTCACTATCGTTGAACTATTCCTGAATAATTGTCTATTCTTCCTTCACAGGGAGGGTCTTCAGGCAAAGGAACAGCTTTAAGGAATGGTTTAGATGCAGATCTTGTTGTCTTCCTCAGCTGTTTCCAGAGTTTTCAGGAGCAGAGAAACACAAAGCAGGAAATTCTAGAAGAAATTCAGGAAATACTGCAACAGTGTGCTTTAGGCAATGCCTACAAAATCATTGATATTAGCATGAGTTTCACACAGAACAGCAACATCCCTCCAAAGTCTTTGAGCTTTGCAGTAAAATCAAGGAAAAAGTCGAGCAATGTGAATTTTGATGTTTTGCCAGCCTTTGATGTATTCGGTAAGAATTTATGTCAGTGTTATTTTGAAGCTCAGTGGTTAGCACTGCTGCCTCACAACACCATGGACGCGAGTTCGATTCCCACCTCGGGTGACTGTCTGTGTGGAGTTTGCACATTCTCCCTGTGTCGGCGTGGGTTTCCTCCGGGTGCTCCGGTTTCCTCCCACAGTCCAAAGATGTGTAGGTTAGGTGGATTGGCTATGCTAAGTTGCCCATAGTGTCTAGGATGGGAAATGCAAGGATAGGGTAGGGAGTGGGTCTGGGTTGGATGGTCTTCGGAGGGTCTTTGTAGACTGGATGGGCCGAATGGCGTGCTTCCACACTGTAGGGATTCTATGATCTATGATCATTTTATGAAATGTCTGCTACTCTTCAAGAAAGCCAGGAAGAGTGATTTTATTCACATTGCTTCATCACATATGGATGTCACGGTAAGTATAAGGTGGAGAATTAAAATACAAGAATGAGGATAATGAAAACTCATGGTGTAGAATAATATATTGACATGGCTCAAAGGCTGACTAGCTAATAAGAAACAGCGTAGGTTAAAATGGGCTGTTTTCTGCATGGCAGGATGTAATCAGTGCTTTGTCACAGGAGTAGTGCTGCTGTTCAATTGTTCAGAGTTCTATGTAAATTACTTGGATGAAGTGCCCAAAGATATAGTTGCAGCATGTGTTGATGATTCAAATGTAGGTAGGAAGTAAGTTGTGAAGAGGAGGTATGGAAGCTACCAAAGTGATGTAGATGGGTTAAGTGAGTGGCAGAGATCTGAAAAATGGAGTGTAATGTAGGAAAATGTGGAATCCATTTTGGCGGGAAGAATTTAAAAAAAAACAAAGCATTTGATGAGAGACTGTGTCCCCTAGTGCATGAATCAAAAGGTTAGTGTGTAGGTATAGCAAATAATTAGGAAAACTAATAGAATGTTGTTGTTTATTGTGAGGGAAATTGAATACAAAAATAGGAAGGTGTGACAATGCTGTCACTTTAAAAATGTTACTTTGTCCTGGGTTTTTTGAAGAGAAGTTGTAAAGGCAGCAGTTCTAAAGTGGCTACGGGACATGGCCTAAGTCAACAATCAGAGGAGGCCTTTACGTTTTTTTTAGAACAGTTGTTACAATGGAAGGGGAGTGGCCAGTTCTCACAGATCAAGCTCTCTACTTATTTTTTAGCTGTAGCAGTCAGTTGTTTGGTTCCCAGAAGAGTTGGGGCTTCAATAAAATGATTCCTAGCTGTTACATTTTCTGAAATCCCTCCTGATGTTGTTTCCTCCTGGATTGGGCAATTGCCTCTAAGAATCTGTCTCAATTTACCTTTTTTCCAACGGTGTGTTTATGGAATGTTACTGTATTGAAACAGTTGATTAGTAATAGGTACTGTAGCTATTATTCAATTAGGTTTTCCGATATTTAAGTTGTTCTAAATTCCTCTTTCTTTCGTTTATACTTTAACTGTGGTCCATAAGAGGTTATGCTTCATTTATACAGAACACTGGTGACAATCTGCAGCACTTTATACATTTGAAGCAAAGAAGATAGGATCAGGAGTAAGCCTTTTGGCCCATTGAACCTGTCCTGCCACTTGCTACGATCATAGCTAATATCCATCTTGATAGTCTGTTCCTGCTCTTGCTATGTCCCCATTTCCTTTGCTATTTCCAACTCCTTTTCGAAATCATACAAAGTTTTGTCCTTCACTGCTTTCTGTGGTAGCAGATTCAACTCCTGGTTCTAGACTCCTTTGCTATCAGGAACATTCTCCTGCATCTGCCTTGTCCAGACCTGTCAGAATTTCAAAGGTTTCTATGAGATCACTCCCTCATTTTTGTGAACTCAGCGCATATAATCCTTACTGATTCAACCTTAAGCATCAGTCCTGCTGTTCCAGAAATTAGTCTGGTAAACCTTTGCTGCACTCACTACATAGCAAGGACATCCTTCCTCAGATAAGGAACTGTGTGCAATATTCCAGGTGTGGTCTCATGAAAGCATTGTATAATTGCACCAAGACATCCCTGCTTGTATACTCGAATCCTCTAGCTATGCAGGCCAACATACCAATTGCCTCTTTACTGCCTGCTGCACCTGTATGCTTAACCTTCAGCAACTGTGTTCAGGGATGTCCAGGTCCTGTTCCACATCCTCCTTAACTCAGTTTGGACCCATGGAGATAATATTCTGCCTTCCTGTTTTTGCAAATAAAATTGATAAGTGTTGGGAGTTTTATTTATGGAAGGATGTAAATATGTTGGAAACAGTTATGAGGTTGCCTATACTCGTTCCTGGAGTGGGCCAATTGTCTGATGAGGAAAGGTTGGACAAGCTAGCCTTGTACCTGCTGGGGTTTAGGAGAATAAATGGATGGTATGAATGAAACACAAAATTCTGAGCGATCTTGACAGTGTGGATATGCAAAGTTTGCTTCCTCTTCTGAAAGAATATAGAACTAGGCTCATTGTTTCAAAATAAGGGGTCACCCCTTAACAAAGATAATGAGAGTTTCTTTTTTCTTAAAAGTCTTCAGTCTTTGGATCTCTCTTCACCAAAGGCAGAAGTCAATAAAGTCTTGATAAGCAAGCAAATGAAAGTGCTCCGGGATAGACCTGAACGCGGAGTAATCAGATCAGCCATGATCTTATTGAGCAACAAAGCAAGCTTGAAAGGATGAGTGGCCTACTCCTGACTTTTAGTTTGTCTGTTCATATGATGGGCTTGGGTTGATGGGTGGCAAACTGAACTGAGCTGTTTGAAATGGTCATCGACTCTGTGTTTGGTCTCTCTAGTGTAAAGGAAAGCAGACTACAAACAGCATGTATAGCAGGTTCAGTTAAGGAAATTGCAGCCATGTCTGGGAAGACTTTTTGGGGCGTTAGACAGTGAGAAAGGAGGAGATAAATGCTGAGTTGTTATATTTGTGGAGAAACGTGCTGCAGAAAATGGAGGGTTGTTTAGGCTGGTTGGTCAGTGAACCAGGCTGATGTGGATCAATTGGTCCACTTAAAGCTGCAAGAAGGAAAACAAAAATTATTTTTGGTGGTGGCATTGCATGGAAGTGGTGCAAATGGTCACCATTTTCATCAAATCCACCCTGTCAAGGTGGTCCCTTTTAATACAAGGGCTGTAGGGTAGGAGATGATGACCAGCATACCCCTATTGTGGTTCTGGAATGAGGAGATACGAGAAGTGTATGAAATGTAACAGATATCAAACAACAAATGTAAACTAAAAGAATGACAATAGATGACTTGACCTTGAGGAATGAGATAACTACACCCTGCTTATAACAGATGACCACAAATGATGCAGTTTCTGTTGCTCAAATGTTTTGATTTCTTACAGAGGAATCATGTGATGCAAATGAAGCCCATCTCAAGCTAATGAAACTTGTAAGTGAATATGGCGATCCATGTCGTGAATTTTCAGTCTGTTTTACTGAGCTTCAGAGGAAATTTGTGAAGCAATGAGATGAAAAACTTAGACTTGATTCAGCTGCTAAAATATTGATACAAAGAGGTGAGTGATTGGGGAACATGGCAAATGTAAATGCTTGAAAGATATGGGAGGACTGTAACCCACGCAAAAAGATGGTTTCCTCTTTGAATCTTTTAAGGAATGTACATAATGTGCTGTTTCTCTTGGAGCTCCACCAATCTCTGCTAAATGTACAGTAAAAGAAAAGGTTGGTGTCATAAGCCATATAAAAGAAGTGCCCATATTTTTAACAGTTGAACAATCTAGCCTCCCCTCTACTGGAAACTGGCTTTGCTTGAAATTGTTGGAATGACTTGAGAGGAAGGGGAGATTGTGTACACCTTCAGCTTGGGTTAAATACATCTCAGAATCAGATTGTGATTCTCCAATGTCTTAAAATATGAATTCCCTGGTGCCATGCTGTGTAGAGGAGCTGTATTCAAATTGAATGGAGGTTAGTCCTTTTAACATGCACATATTTGAACATGGTTTTACATTTTAATTGAGGATATGGGATTTTATCCTTAAATCTTTAACACTCCTTTGTGTCTTTGAGTGACCATCTCAGTTTACTTGAACTTGCTCAATCTTCTCAATAGAAAAGGCTGCATCTAATTGATGAGCACTCAGGGGCTCCAAAATACATTTTTGTTTTAATTTTGTAAGTTAATTCATTGCTGAACAACCAACTGAGCAACGATGAGGTGGAAATTGCTTTTACAGTGCCCATTTTCTGAATGGGAAATGGAAACAAAAATGACTAATTTCACCCAACAATGCATGATATAAAACTGACGCCATAATAGCCACGGACAATTTGCAGGTGAGTCAGGGATCGTTCTGTTACTTGAATATGTAAATGAGGCATTTAATACCTGTCTGCACCTTTTAAGCACTTTGGTTGGTATTGCAAGGTTCCTTCAGATTTTTTGCTTTTTCATGCAGCTTCTCCATACGACTGACTTCAGACCGAGATAGAGCAACACATGGACGAGTCTTTATGTTCCACAACTTTGCTGAGAGCTGCTATCAGCCCACCATTATTCACCTCCCTAACTTCTTGCTGTGTGACAACTGGTTGCTGCATTGCAATTTCAAAATACCTGTTGGGAAAAACAATGGAAAATATTGAAGTTGCGAATGGTCATGTGTATCTAATTCCAAGTGCTTGCTTTCTGTTTAGCCCTGACAAGGACAGTTTGTCTCCTCAGATTTACCTTTGTGGAGAAATACTGAACAGAGATCATGTGTCATTCCAATGCAAGGGCAAAAAGAGGACAATGTGAGCAGATCTTGTGGATTTCTTGGTGGACGATGAGACTGCAGCATTTGTTTGGGCCAAGCACAGTCAGGCCTGGCAGGGATGTGATTGATTCATTGTCATATGTACTGAAATACAGTGAAAATCTTTGTTTACAAGCAGTACAGGCAGATCTCAGCAAGCAAAGGATGTACAGATCAAAAATATTTAGAAGCATAACGGTTACATTATTTGAGGCTACAGTCCATTCAACAGTCTGATGACGGCCAAAAAGAATCTGTTCCTGAACCTGTTTGTGCATGTGTTCAGGCTTCTGTGCCTTCTGCCTGACAGAAGAGGTTGTACGAGGTCATTACCAGCATGTGATAGCCACCTTCTCGCGGCAGTGAGACATGTAAACAGAGTCCGTGGATGGAGGGTTGGCTTCCGTGATCAAGTGTGCACCCACCTTAAATAGATTTTTATAGTCTTGGGCAGAGCAGTTCCCATACCAGGCCATTATGCACCTGGACAGTATGCGTTCAGTAGTGCATCTGTAGAAGTTGGTGTGGCACCTTGTGGACATGCTAAATTTCCTGAGCTGTCTGAGGAGGAAGAAGAGGCGTTGTTGTGCCTTCTTGACTGTCGCATTTACATGGAAAGTCCAGCACAGGTAGTTTGTTAAAATCAGTCCGAGGAACTGTCTCAAACTCAGTGCCGTTGATGTAGATGGGGGCGTGTTCTCCTCCTTTCTGTCTGAAGTCGCTGATCAGTTCTTTAGTTTTGCCGATGTGCAAACTGTCCCTCAATGAAAACAATGTCTCTGAGCCCTCTATCTCCCTTCTGTATTTTGACTCGTCCTTGTTAGATATCTGTCCCACAACAGTGGTGTCATCAGCGAGCTTGAAGATGATGTTTGTTAGGAATTTGATAACACGGTCGCAGGTGTACAGGGAGTTCGATAGGGGGCTAGGGACGCATCCTTGGAGGGATTCAGTGTTGAGTGTTATTGTGGAGGAGGTGCAGTTACTTGTCCTCACTGATTGCAGCCTATGGGTCAGAAAGCTGAGGATCCAGTTGCAGAGGGCAGAGCCGAGACCAAGGTCATGAAGTTTTGATTTTGAAATAGATGTAGGAAGTGCTGGAGAAACTCAGCAGGTCTAGCAACATCTTTGGAGCGAGAAACAGTTCAGGTTTTGAATTCAACATGACACTTTTTCAGAACTGAAAATGATTGCAAAATGGTTTGTATGCTGCTGTCAGAGTGGGAGGAAGAATGATAATGAAGGTGCCCAGAGCAAAAGGCAAAGGGTGGCTAATGCTGGTGAAGGAGAGATTGACTGACGGGGATAAAAATGAAGATGTGAAATGGAGAAAATGGGTCCACTCTGCTGAGAGCAAAGTCAACAGATACAAACAAGATATGTCTGGAAGGGGATATAAGAAAAATGGAGGCCATGCCAGGAATGTTAATGTTCTCAGAGGCAGAAACAGAAGTACAAGGTGGGAGGTGGCATGAATAATTTTAATGTCATGTTGTGTATTCACACAAGCCACGGAAATCTGAGCTGGCTCCTAGTGAACGTCTGCCTGCTAAGTATGCGGTAGCAATCTAATTGACCTTTAATATCGGCACCTTGGCATCTCTCGGTGTCAAGTAAGTGACATGCTGACCACGCTACTTGAATATGATGGAGTCAGCAATAACCCAACACTCTGGTTGTGTAGTGAAAATATTGCCAATGAGCCCTCATGTAGGACTACATTCTCATCTGCACATTATCATTCTCATTTCCTTAACACCCAATAAGAACTTTTGCTGCATTTCTTCCCCAGCTAGAGTCTTAAAATCTTTTCCTGTGTTTACAGTTCTCCAAATCACTTCCATTTATTTGCTGTACTCTGTATCTGCAACTCCCTCCAGTCTTTTTTCCAGCTCATGTTCACCTTTCTACATTATAAATTGGCAGCACAGTGGATGAGTAGTTAGCACTGCTGCCTCACAGTGCCAGAGACCCAGGTTCGATTCCACCCTCTGGTGCCTGCCTGTGTGAAGTTTGCACAATCTCCCTCTGTTTATGTGGGTTTCCTCTCACAGTTCAAAGATGCACAAGTTAGGTGGATTGGCCATGCTAAATTTCCTGTAGTGTCAATGGATGTACAGGCAAGGTGAATTAGGCATAGGAAATACAGGGTTACAAGGATGGGGGAGGCCGGTGGGTCTGTGTGGGATGCACTTCGGAGAGTCGGTGTGGACTCGATGAGCCAAATGGCCAGCTTCCACACTGTAGGGATTCTGATTCAGTGATCTGAGATTATGACCACTGGTCAGAATGAATGAATACAGTTCACAACACAATTACAGATTAGAAAGATGGGTCTTTCTAGATTGAAAGCACTTTCTATAGTATCCTTTGGTTATCATTATAGTTCCACAGAAAGGGTTTGAAACTACATCTTGGCCCAAACAAAGTCCCTGGTAAAGGTGAATTTAAGAGTCTGGACTTGAATACTTTGAATTCATGTGTCCTTGGGTCAGTATTCTAAGTGAGAAGTAGTACACTAGTTTCCTCATGAGTGAAGGAAGATTGTGTTTTTCTGAGATTGTGTTTCTATGTTCTGGACAACAGCTCCCAGGTCTTTCCACAGGTATACATTGTTTTGAAGCAGTCTGAGGCAGTCTTGAGTTGTGACACGTGTCATCTGCTTTGAGTTTAAAACCTCAATAATACACCATGGTAGAAAGCCCTTTAAATACATGGGGAGGTTAACAGCGAAGCTATTGGCAGAGGAACACAAATCATCCAGGAATTTATGGTGATTCATAGATCAAGAGTTATCCCAATCTCATTACAAATTGCTGGATTGTTTTCACAACAATTACCATTAAACTCAGTGTTATTTTGCTAACAATCCCAGGCCTGTGCTTATTGGGTGTGGTTTTATTTAGCAGGCTAATAATTCTTGACCCAGGCGATCCAGCTAATAATGTGGCTTTGTCTGCTGGATGGCATGTGATGGTCAATGAGACCATGAAATGGCTGCATTCTCCATGTGTCTCTGGAGTCCAAGCGTGGAAAGTCCAGGTAAATGGTTTTAGGAAAGTATTGACAATAGGCACTATATATTAGAGAAATTCTGTACAAGGATTATTAAATCTCGAAGATGCTGCTGTCTTGACTTCACTCAAGAAACATAAAATAAATTAGTCAAATATTTCACAGCCACATCAATAAAAGAGGAATGCTGTGATGGTAATAGGGCCAATAAGGCATCGTTAGGATAATATCACAGGTGATGATATCGGGATGCCAGAAACATGAAATAATTATTTTGTGTTTGTATGCACCAGAGATAGAACTGGTAGACATGTCACTGAATGATGAAAGGCAATCTGATGAGTCCAGATCAAAGAGAGTTCTGTTGAATAAAAAAGGATTCTAATGTTAAGGCCCTAGGTTCAGACAGGCTGTTTCCGTATGGTTTAAAACAATATAGAATGAGATAGCAAAGATATGTCTATCCATTTAATAATTTATAGGAAAAGGTGTAATATGAGCGGACTGGCAGAAAGCTAATGTAATATATTTAAAATGTGGAAGTGCTGGTGTTGGACTGGGGTGGACAAAGTTGGAAGTCACATGACATGAGGTTTATTTGAAATCATGAAGGAGCAGCACTCCAAAAGCTTGTCATTTCAAATGAACCTCTTGGACTATAACCTGTTGTCGTGTGACTTCTGACTTTGTAT